AATAAACAATTGTAACAGTTGCATGATATGGATGATGTAATGAAATAAAGACGGTTTGAATCGTTGAAAAAAGTTACGGAATAAACATTACAAGGTGTCCCTCAAATAAATTTTTTTTGAAGGATCCCCAACGGAAGGGAAATGGTTTCTACAATATGATATTTGCATATAGCAAGAAAATTACAGATTCAGATTCCTTCATGATCAGGCAAACCTTAAATTAGTCGAAAACTTTACACTCAATTCCATCATCAAGCAAACTCTAAATTAGCTGAAAATTCAGAACTTAAAGGAATTGTACATCATTTTCTCAGTACATAATTATGAACATGTAAATACAGATCTAATTGGGCTAAAGCTTCCGGCTTCCTCCCTGAATCAACGAGCAGCGATTGGACTGATAGTTTCAAGAACTTCTGCTTCTAACGCCAAAGTCCAAGACCTTTCCAATGTCGACTGAGAAGATGAATGAGAAGATGAATGAGTAAGCACAGAGAGGTTGAACACAACTTCTCCCATACTTGGTCTAGTTGATGGCTTCTCCTGTGTGCAGGCCCTTGCCAAGGCTGTCAAGCTCAAAGCACCATCAATCGGATAGAAGTTCTCCAAATTCGGATCCATCCATTTTCTCAACCGCTCCACTTTTTCCTCATTCGGCTTCCAAAACCCACCTAACATCCTTCCACAACATGACAGCCTCTCCATTTTCTTTCGCTTCCATGCCTTTCTTTCCGGAAAGCAAGGCCAAAAGTACAACCCCAAAAGCAAAAACATCTACTTTGGGGGTGACATCGTTTGCAGCTGCTCTAGCCATGGAGAAATTTGCTATCTTGGCCTTGAATTTGGAGTCGAGAAGTATGTTACTTGTCCTGATATCCATGTGAACAATGCTTCGCTGCGTGTGTTCGTGCATGTATTGCAGGCCATTGGCGACATCTAGAGCTATACTTAGTCTCCGATTCCACGTGAGCAGCTCCGCAGATCTTGAAGTAGCCGAAGATTTGGAGTACAACCACTTATCAAGTGATCCATTTTCAGCGTATTCGTAGACCAAGAAGCGACTCCCGTCTGTTTCAGATGAGACTCCGATAAGCTTCACCAAATTTGCATGATTTACCTTCTGCAGAATATTTAGCTCCTCCGTGACATCTTCTTTAGTGTTCTTTACAGCCAAGACTTGTCCGTCAACTATGGCTCTGTATACCGACCCTCCAATTCTGCAGTGCTCGTTAAGATTCATCGTTGCTTCCATAATCGTTTTGACCTCGTACATGATTGGCTTTCCAAGATAGCTTGAAACTCCCGGAAGAAGCTTATCTTGTATAAACTTCAGGCCAAAATTCTCATCAATTTTCCCTTCTTTCATTTTGAACCATTCAGCGCTTTCCAGAGATGAACCAGGACCGTCCAAATCCTTCTTCACCTTATGTTGGCGACAAGTATACACGGCAAACATCGCGAAAAGTGAAGAAACTATTAGAACACCTCCCAAGATTATGATGAGAATGAGCCACCACCGCTGCTTGAATATGTTTCTTCCTTTGGGGGGTTTTGGTTGAACTAGAGCAGGCAAACTTGACACGGGGATCACCACCGGAAGTCCCACTGCAGCGCTGTCGTTGTGGAGGTTATTTGCAGATGAGATGTCAAGTGTTGACACACTGAACCTGGAACTCACACGCCTGATGTCATCATTGGGTTGCCATATGTATGTGATGTGATACTTGATTCCATTTTTCGTATACATCTTCGAGGGGCACTTGCAGAACAGAGGAAAGATGACTTTCTGGCCAATCTGCAAGAGGGTCGGATTCAGAGTTGGGTTCATATTTAGCACTTCATGCCAATCGGTGAGATTCTGAAATGAATTGACTGAAACTAAGTAGAAGTTATCTCCGCTCTTGATCTCATATGTGATGTTAGAAAAGTAACTGTTTCCAGAGCAACCGCAGCTGATTGGAACTAGTAAGAGTTGGCCTGCAATCAATCTGATGTGCTCAGAAACTAGATTACTCGCCTTGGCAATCGATAAGGGACTGACCCCGAATAGATGAGATATATTTTCCAGGCTCATAAACTGAGGCTGGGGGAAGTAGGACACGTACGTGTCACACGAAGGAGGTGCATCTACAGAGCACGAGAAACTAGTGCTCGAGTTGGATGGCGTTGATTGAGCTAAAATTCGGGCAGTGAAGAAGAGGAGTAGCAGAAGAATACAGAGGGGTTTGGAGAAGAGGAAGGAGATCGCCATTGTTATGACCTGCTAAAATTCTGCAGGCTTCTCAACTAGTTAATGCAACATTTGCTTACGTGATGGTGCTAAAAGTCGAAAAAAAAGCTGGAAGGCTTGCAGAGAGAGCTTTCAATCCAAATTAAAAACATATAATTCATTTCAGGTGACCATCTCTCTAGCTTCAAATTGAAGGAGTCTTAATCGTTTGATTTTATATAAACTAAAATATAATCATACAATTATTGTGCATTCGGACAGAAAATAGATTTAAATACTTCAAAATACCTTTCTGCAATGAAGTATTCAAATAAAGCAGATTAGTTTAAAACAAGCAACAAACTCTGGACGGCAAGTTGTCTCTTAATCTGACCATTTCTGTATATAAAGTCAGCCACAGGAACCATGGATGAGATCATGGTATCGAATGCGACGTGATAGATGATTGCTTATTATTTGTTGGCCTGTTGGAAAAAACCAACGCGATGGCAATCATGCTGTTGTGTTGAGGCAATCACTAGAGACAGATGATTATTTTCAATCAAAAGGGTTTCGATGTCAAGTGATTCCCAACACAACCATAAGTTAATAACCACAGATTTGATGCTGAACGGCTGCTGCTAGAGAGATACACTAACAAACTCAAGGGGCGGCCGCCCGCGGTAGTTGAATGAAAATAGCTGTATCAACGTTTTCAATAGAAGAAAATAATCAGACAATTTAAAATAACAACGTTTGTTCGATAGTGACATCAAGCGAAGTAAAAGATAACAATACATTGTAAAGGGGAAAACTACCGGCACATAACAATACAAGCAAAAACATCCGGTATCTGCAGTTATAGGACTGCCCTTAACTTCAAGATTATACGATTTCAAGTCTTCGGCTACAAAGTAAATCGTCGGTTTTACATAATTCATCTTAAAAAACTCTATTCGCCAGCAGATGAGAAACTACTGGAGTAAATAGAAAAAGCTTTGGTAAGATCTGCAGAGCTCAGCGTCCATATGCGACCCTGGCAACGTGAGAGGAAGGGTGTTGCTTACTTCCTCACAACTCTCTTCCGCAATGCAAGAGCAGCTCTCCCACATTTGCAATATGCTTGGATCAGGACTTTAAACATATAAACATCTGGCTGGACTCCACTCTGCCTAACCATTGCGAAGAGTTTCTGCACAGTTTTGATGTCCGCGTTTAGTGCAAAATGATGCATCAACCCTGAAAATGTCTGGATATCGGGAACAATTCTAGACATAATCATCTCTTCAAGCACATTCGAAGCTAACATCATCACCAACATCCTCATCATCATCACCGCTGATTATTGATATGCTCTTGGTCCCCTCACTGAGTCATTGGGCAACATTTCTCATAGAAATTCATTAAGTCTCATGTACAAACCCTGCTTTTTGAATCCGTTCCAAAGACAAACGCATAGCGTGACCCGGCAATATCCCATCAACCCGAATTTCATTAAGTAAATTCTTAACCTCGTCAAACTGTTCGACATCAACACATGCCTCTACCAAAACTGAAAACTGGTTTAAAGTTCGATTCACCCTCATCAAAGGAAGCACATTAAACACCTCCATTGCAGACTTCCCAAAAAAATTTAAAATTCTTTTTTATTTATATAATACAATTATTTATATACAATAAGGTCCGGATATTGATACGATTCCTCTAATTATTCTTTGTAATACAATACTTTAGTAAATTTTGATTAATTTATCATATTTTAGTTTTGTTTTATGAAATTTCATAAAAAATAACGAGTCTTTATGTTACGTTACATATGGCCTCGTTTCAAAAAAATTCGTCGTCTGGGGGCTTTACCAGGACTATCTAGTAAAAAGCCTAGAGCCGGAAGCGATCTTAGACACCAATCGCGCGGTGATTGGATTAATGATAAAATAGAATTCTAGATCTCAAACAATGATTCGATGGATAATAAAGAAAGAGAATTCTTGGTTCATAAGAGAATTCTTTGTTCAATTCTCCACCTTAATGACAGAAAAAATAATTGATCTCTATTGAGTTTGACTCGGTATTCAAGCTCTTATTTTTGCAACCTTAGTTGCGGCTTATATAGGCGAATCCATGAAAGATCATCATTGACTAGTTACATAATCTTAGCTTGACGCAATGTATCTGCGACTCAAGGTAATCCACTTAGGGAAGATAAATAAGGTATAAATAAAGGTATATACGCCAGAACTCAGAAGGTGCTCAATCATCACTGTCTTAAGTCCAACTATTCGGGACTGCCCCCTTCTTCAATCATCATACTAAAGTCCCTCCCCGCCTCCGAATCTTTCCTCATTTGGGCAAAAATACGCATCACAATGTTATAAGACTCGGCGCACACACGTTTCTCCGAGCTAACTCTATACTCATCCCACGTTTCTCCGAGCACATGTATCTTTAGTTTCTCACACACCCCTCTATAATTTTGGATTGCATAAATCAAATGGAACAACTAATATGATTCAAGTTGAGTGTGTGATAGAATAAAAATGGTATGTGATCATTTTCCTTAATTTAGAATGTTATGAAATGAAAAATACCTAACTGCATGTAAGAAGTCGTTATCTGTGCATAAATCACAGTTTGATAATGAGATACTTTTGTGTACGTATCAGACTGTGATTAAAGGTAATGAAGGTAATGCGCATGTAAGATGCCAAACAAAGTTCTTTCAACCATTCATATCATATTCAAGCCAACAATTTTTTTTTTGAAAATTAGTCTAGCCGACACCGTATAGAGCTCTATTTTAACCTTTTTTTTTTCGTCAATAGATATTGGCGGTGAGAAATTCAAACTCGAAACCTCACCTCAAATACAGTAGTGGACACACTACACCTAGAGGGAAACTCCCCGAGTTTTTACAAAACAAGTACATGGAAAACCAGAAGGATGGTCAAGCTTGATATCCATGGATAAAATGCCTCTAAGAGCAATCCCGTCGTAATTGTCATCTGTCTTTTAGATACAATTTCTTCTAAACAGATTTGAAGGGTAAAATGTGGTAGTATAATTTCTAAATATGTTCCACAAACTGTTTTGAGATGACAACAATCCACACAGAAATGAGCATTTTCTTTGCGTATCTCTCATGATCTACATCCTATATAGTCATTGGCAAGGCCGAGGTATGGATTTATGTGGTAAGAACTCTTTTGTATCAACTCTAAAAGTCACTCGGGAAAGTTTCCGACCAATCTAATATGGTCGAGGGTCCTCCTCAGACCATACTTGAGCACTGCTTGGTTACCTATCCTGAATCCTTCTCCGTAAGCTGTTGATGAATCCGATTCAATTTGGTGTTTGAAAAATTCACCGAGTTTCTTCTCAAAGTCAGACCGTTTACCCTTCTTAGATGATGCCGAACTAGAAGAGGATGACGAGGAAGAGGAAGAAGAGGATGATGACGAGGCAATATCACTACCCGGAGTAGAATATGTCTCAGCATCCAGCCACATATGTGCCAACACTTGGCAGATACCTTCTTCTACCTCTGGGCTCAGGTTCGGATAGCCTGCGCAACAACCTATCAGTAAATCCAACCGACCAAAAGGAAATGTTGTAAATGTCAAAAACAGAATATGGAGTGCAGGACAGGCACGCACCGTTAAGCCTCAGCCATGCATGCATCATCTCGTGAGTGAGAATTGACCCTGTCAACAACCTGCGTTCACAGAAGTTTTAGGTCGTATATATCAATTAGCAGCATGATTAATGACCATGGATAAAGAGGAATCAAGAGAAATATTACCTAGGAAGGCCATACAGTACAAGAATTGCTGTTACTTCACAGCGACGAATCAGCCTATGAGGCTCAGTAACCATGTCTATCAGCCGGTAGCCAGCTCCAATCCTTGGCCTCCGTAAAATCTGCAACATAGTAAGAGATATACAGAGAACTCTATCAATGAACTGTTAGCTTAAGAAATGTAATTGACAAAGCTGAGGGAAAAAAATTCCTACGGTAGTGACAGTCTGTTCTTCTGACAAGCAGAGTCCTCTAGTCTCCGGCATGTGATGATGACCCTGCCAACGTAAAGTAAAATTTCAACTAAACTTTTAGATTGAAGAAATGGAAAGGCACTTTTTTTTTTTCCAAAGCATGAAGCTCTAGTGCATCAGGATTACATTCTTTTCTCCCTCCATAGCCTCATTTAGAGCTTGCCTCTCGACCAAGAGCATTGGAACTTGCTGCTTCAGTTTCATGTTTAAACCTTCGTAAAAGTCTTGTATCTCAAGGTAAAGGGGTTGGCATTCGTGAGTATCCATAATTGCCGAGTCTAGACACTCCAGACATAGCTTCCGACCATCGTCAAGTAACAAATATCTTGTGTCCCGTGCCTGCAAGGTTAGAAGGCATATCATTACCAATAATAATGTCTTCTATCCTTTTCAATTCCTTCAGGATTTATTGTTTGGTTGCAAAGAGGACGAGTTGTGTTTTCATGAACTTACCTCCATTCTTTCACAGCTACAACACCGAGGAGTCCCATCGCGCTCATGAGCAGGACAGTACTTTTGTAGCCAGAAAGGATGTGCTCTATACTCAATAAGCCCAGCTGAATTTGTTGGGATCTGTATGAAAGAACCAACAAAGAAAAAACAGAAAAGTTATAAAGAGAAATCATTTTAAAGGGGCATGGAAATTCAATATCATTAAAGAACTAAATAGAAGAGAAACTTACGAAACTCTTGCAAACATCGCATTTTGGGTGATGCTTCTCCTTATAGCAGGATTTATGGTAAGGGTGATTCCCAGACATCGAATACTGTCATGGATAGGAGATCCAAAAAATTAAATTATATATATTGCTATATACAATTCATATTTCCAATTTAAATAATTCAGCTGGGAATTCAAGTATCTTGTCAGTCAATTCCAAATAAAATTCTTACTGAACAAGATGTCAAGAACCAGATTCTGACCTCATAATCAGTAATTGGAAGATTGCAAGCACGGCAACGGAAACATTCTGGATGCCAAACAGCACCCATGCAACTCAAATATCGTCCATGGCCGATTCCCAATTTGCAGCCAGCACATATCCTACAAACAACAATTTTAACAACCTTCGGAATAAAGCTATAAAATTACATGAAATGAAAGAGTCAATTCTCAAGTGGCTTCATTTTATGTAACTACCCTATGTGCATTCATACATAAAGATCATATTGATATCTTGGATCTCTGATTCGTAATGTTACAGTAAAACAACTCCAGAAAAATTATTACGCTCCTCTCTGGTTACGGAAGAAACACGTGTATACCAAAGGATAAATTTATATCAACCTATTTATCTCATGCTCAAACAAGTTACAGTTTAATAATTTGATTTTGTACCTTTTGTATCAATTCTTACTACACAGGTAGAAAACTCATCAGGCGGCTTAATATATTTAACTGAGCACGTGAGCTACAGAGCCAGTCTAAGCTCCCATATAGGCAATTCAAACTTCAATTTTCTCTTTACATCCGTTTTGTTTCACAATATTTTTCAATGTTTACCATCAAACAAAGTCTAGTCATATTCAAAGTTATTAAGAACCTATAGATAACAGAAATTGGCATATAACAGTACTTGATTGACTAGACTCGATTCAAGAGACAGCAAAGTGTCCGCATGCACCTGTACCTGGCTGGCATGAATAATGAAGGAGGTTGAAATATATTGCCATTATCACGTCGAGGAGGAGAATCCATGTTCAAACTTTCTTGAATAGCCTTTGCAAGTTGTTCATCTTCCTCCAATTGAAGTTTAGCACTTTGTTCATCTTCCTCGTAGTCAAATTTGGCAGGTTTTTCATCATCGTCCGACTGAACTTTGGCAAATCGTGCATCATCATCTGATTCAACTTTGGCAAATCGTTCATCATCGTCTGATTCAACTTTGGCTGATCGTTCATCATCGTCTGATTCAACTTTATAAGGTTGTTCGTCATCCTCTGATTGAGAATCATCTTCTGAAAAATAAGTAGGGTAATGGATTATAAGTAACTTATCAATCAAACAGAGGATAACAACCAAGATTTATGAGTATGCCCTTTAGTGGAGTTATGTAGAAGTCACACTCTATGCTTGATGGAAAATGTCACAATTCATTATGGATTTCATGAAGATTTGCACACCTACAGCATATTGCTCGATCGCTCATGTCTAACACTAGTAGCTACTAATCCTTGTACAAAAAGTGGGGGAATTCCAAGTTATTCAGTTAGTCTATTGTATCCACTGAGGAAACTCTCGTACTTATGCAGCATATGAAGTTATCAATTAGTTTTTGCATGTTGGTGAAACTTACCGATTACACTTTTCCCTTTTTGATCTAGTTCTGAAAGGGACATTGCAATAGCAACATCTATGTCTTCTTCCTGCATTCCAAGTTCCCAACAACATAAAGTTAGCATCGTATGACATAAACTAAACATCGTACAATAAAGTTAGCATCAGTATGACGAACCTTCAGAATTTGGATTATCATGGTAATTTCTGTAAATTATCTTTGTGATGGGTAGATATCGATTACCTACTATGAGCATAAAACTAGTCCACTGCAACATTAAATGTGCAGGAACAATGACAAATTCTGTTTATATTAGTCAAAAGAGTAATTACCACTGAATTACGAGGCTCGTCCCATGTTCTATCCTCTCTAAATTTCCTATGAGAATGCCCTTTATAGCTAGAACCTTTAAGAATCTTAGTCAGCCAACCCATAACAAGAAATCTTACCCGCCCCTGGTCTGGCAAACTGTTCCTGCACCAATAGTATTTCATTTAGGCACAGAGAAAGCACAGCATTAAATAAACAGCAAAGTAAAAACCAAAATGCAAAAATAGAAGATATTCAGTGGCACACATGTTAAATTGTGCTAGCTATTACTATATATAGTATTATCATATAATCACTCCACAGTTTGAACGTACATCAAACGAAAACATTAATGGATGTCATAAGGACTAGTACGATACACACTGAGAAATCAAATATAACATTACTGTTCTATTAAAGCGAAGAAATAGGACTAAAAATGGTCGTCTCTAACAAAGATAACACGATAGCATTCGCAAAGCAAGAAACTGCAAAAGTGAGATCCAAGAATATCTACGACCACCATACAATCAATAAGTCTCAACCTGGGAACAATTTCCAGATTTAGAGGGGCAACAGTTCACAGAACATGCATATGAACCAAGAGCAGATAAGCAACGAAATCATAACTAAGAGAAAGCGCAAAAACTGGAAAAAAAATGAGAGAGAGAGAGAGAGAGAGAGAGAGTCTCTAGCTAACTATTATACAAACTCAACAAGTTCATTACAGCATAGAGGAGCAACCAGATAACCATTCAACAGATTCATATAATACTGAAATGACTACGAACGGAATTTTGCTCTGTGAAATTCACACCCTGTTCCAATAACCTCAATCCAATTGAAAGAATTTAACCTATAAAGAATCAAGAATTAATAGCAATAAGCTCAATCCACCCCAGACTGAAAGTACCCAAGAAGGCGTCCTTTCCCAAAATTCCAATAGCATGCAGCAATCCATAATCCAATATCATCAAACCACATATTTATAAGAGAACACATTCCATCCACCCACCCACATCAAAATAAAGAAACCAAATTAAAGCAGGTGGAGCATTCAAATTCAATGAAGAAAAAGTAACAAAGCAGAAGTCCCTGTAAAACTACCTGACACAGATTAAGATTCTGCAAAAATAGTCGAATCTGATGAATCCCAGATAAGATGAAAGTTCCCAATTCCCCACCCTACCACCCACAGCTTTTCACCCCTGCAAATCCCCCAGCCTTTCTTTGAACAAAGTCACAACCATTTTAGTAAAGATAAAGGATACTGCTTGAATCCTGCGCAAAATTCCAAAAGGGTATAAATTAATAATATAAAATTGCAAATAGTTGGGAGAGCTCCGATCATCATCAAGGTATTATAATCTGCCTTTTTTCAAACCCCACCAAACAAAAGACAAGCTTCTTTTTTTTTTTTTTTTTTTCACCTTATTTATTTAAGGATACTAAAAGATTAGGGTTTGATCATTAGTCTATCATAGTTGCCTTATTCTCTAAACCACCATAACATGGTTAGAAAGAACCAAAACCCCGAAATTTAGTAATCAACTACAAAGTAGACTACTTCATTTCTATTCAAAGCGATTAGAAATGGCTAATTCTTTGATAGAACGACCCTATTTCCCCTATTTACATAGTTTTATTAAATAAAAAAGAGCAATAAAAAATAAACAAGCGGAGGACAAAACCAAAACCCATAAAGAAAAAATAATACATCATTCCGGAATGCGCATTAATTTCTAAAGCGGAAGCAACATGAACCATCGATGGAGGAAAATCATGCCAAACCAAAATAAGAGAAGACAAACCTATGTTAGCAAAGGTATCCGCACCAACATTTCCCTCTCAAAAGATGTGAGAGAAGCACAAAGTCATCTTGTAAATGCAGGCCAAACAAGTGCTAAAAAGCCAAGGAAGATCAATATCATTCGAATATTTACGGAAACAGCACTAGAAGAGTCACTTTTCAACCAAAAACAACGTCGGCTCCTTTGGATAAGAGAATTCAACACCAATAATAATTAGATTGTGATGGTCAATACCCTGACAGAAACCACCAAAAAATTGACCAAAATAATCCCTAAAAACGTCCCAACAAGCAACATGACCAGAATTTTCTTTAGATAAACCGTTTAATTCAAAGGAAAACTAATGAAAATGGCTTGAAAACTTTGAGTTTTAACGAGAAGGACAAAATAAAGGGTAAAGTGAACAGTATCATGATTGATTTTTTAGTTTAAAAATGTGATTTTTCGTTAAAATAAACAATATCGCAGTTTTTTTTTTTGTTAAAACTCCCTTTCAATAGTATCAAGGAAGAGGCCATAATAAGGGAAAAATAATGGGAGCCCTGCAAGGAATAAACCAAATTTTAAAGAAGAAATGATACGAGTATTAAAATCTTGAGAGTCCAAATTTCTAAAGGTTTGTGCTTTTCTTGCAGTTTTTCTACTCCTTAGTGGGTCTTTTATCAATTCTCCACCACACTCCACTAAATGTCAAAAACCCCATTATATCTTTTTTTTGGCTGACAAAGAGTCAAAAGGGTGACGTTTGGTCCTCCCATTTGGTTCCAATTGAAAGTGAGGCGGCTCTAGACTTCAGAGCCAAGCTTATCCGATAGTACCCAACCATTGCTATCACTATATTTCATGTTGCATGTCTACATTAGGTCTTATATTCAACTCACATGATTAATGACGTTTAATATTATTTTTTTCACTGCAATACCTAGTTATAATTGATTTGTTGTGAATCCAAATCCTACATATTACATTAGAATATCTCCTTAAAAAGAATGCCGATGTATCGGAAAAAAATTATATTGTTGAAGGAGAGGGGCTGGCAGCAACAGAGAGAGAAAAGACATATGTAATTCTAAGGTGTGTGTTGTATCACCCCCTTATGCCCTTATTTATAGTAGTAGGATAGGTAAAATCCTTACCCTAGTAGGATTACATCTCTAATAGGAATTAAACTACTAAAGGGAATATACAAGATACTCCTATAAACATTAGAATTAACTGTTCTACCTCATCTTCATCAGATGAGGTAGAACAGTTAATGAAGTCGTCGGTACAACGGGTGAATGTGAGTCTCAGATATAAGAAAGTAAGTATGCATTGGTAGTAAAACTCACAAAACCTTGCTATGGTAAAACCCAAGGCATGGGGAAAACTCATAGACTAAGGAGAAAAGTGAGAAGTATGCATAATGTCTAAAACAAATGTCAAACATGACAAAAGTAGTGAACTCGACGGAGTATGATCATCTCAGGATGGGTGCCTTATCAAAACCTCGTTAGGTAGCAAAAACCCAGTGAAAAAAATGCTCTTAATCATAGGAAAAAGTGTACATTAATATCAAGTGAGTATGCTTCAGGATACTCCCCATGAGTTAGACATAACTTTCAAATAAGAGAATTACAAGTAATTCAACTCATATAATTTACGCATACCGATTCCTTGGACGAGCTTTCAACCAAAAGCACTCACAATGCTTTATGTAAGGCGAGAATCTCATCATGGTTCGATGCAGTCGCAACCAGCGTTTGCTTGGTAGACCTTCAAGATATAGCGGTGTCTCCAACTGTAAAGGCATAACCTATTTGGGAATGTGCCCTATGTGGGTTAGATAGATAACCAGCATCTCCATAACTAACGAGGCAAGAATCAATGCGAGGACCGAGAGGGCGGCGACTCCTTTCAAGGATTCATAGGTGTAGAACAAGCCTAAATCCGCCGTACCCTTGAGGTAGCAGAAAATATCTTTAACACCATTCCAGTGTCTGCATGTAGGCATATTGTTGTATCTAGCCAAAAGATTAACAACGAAGGAGATGTTGGGTCTAGTGCATTGAGTCAAGTACAATAAAGCACCAATTGCACTTAGGTATGGAACTTCAGGCTCCAAAATCTCTTCCTTTGGATGGAAAGGGTCTCGTTTAGCATTTAGAGTCTGAACGACCATAGAAGTACTCGAAGGCTTTGCTTTATCCTCATAAAAATGTCGCAACACCTTTTGGGTGTAGTTCGATTGATGTACTAGGATTTCATCCGAACAATGCTCGATCTCCAAGCAGAGACAATATTTATCTGTATACTTATTTTTATTTTTTACATATTTTTTGTTAATATTTATTCTTTAATTTTTTTCAATTCATTTCGATCTGACGGTCGAAAATTAAGAAAGGTGTGTAAGAGGTAAAAATGGGTGTGAGGGTAGCATCACCCTATTTTTTTATTCAACTTTTTAATTAGGTGGTGCTTTCCATACACTCATTTTTACTTCTCATACACTCCTTGTCAACTACCATTGATCTTTTTTAATTTATTCAATTTGACAACCGAAAATTAAGATGGAGTGTGAAAGAAAAGATGTGTGGATAGCATCACCCTTCTACTTTGAGCCTTTATTTTACATTGTCCAATAGAATAACTAGAAAAAAAAAGGTGTACAGAGGTAAAAGGGTATGCAATCTTAGAAAAAGAGTCTTAAATTACTTTTGCTTTAGATTCAAACAAAATAAACACACTTTGATATTTTTTTGGTAAAACAAAATTTGATTGATCACTGAACATGGTGAAGCCATGAAGGAAATAAAGTTCTTGTTGAAGGTGTCAAGGCATTGAAATTAAAATCCATTCTTAGAAGGAGAGCCTCTTAAATGTTTAATGAAAACACAATTGCAAGTAAGAGAAATGCTAAGGAAACATTTTTAAAGTGAGACTCTACATGGATTCTCCGTCATCTCATATTTTGGGCGCAATATTTTATACTGTGGCACAGGCATTGTAAGTGTTGGACCAATTACTCTTAGTCAATGTAGGTGACCGCCTTGGCGCTGAGCGGTGGTGACCTAAGGCGTTTTCTTGCAAATCGGTTGGAAAAATTGGTTGAGCTCTAGATAGGCGGCTAGGCATTTTTTTTTAATTAAAAAAAAATCCTATCTAAGTCTAAGTAGACATACTACTTGCAAGTGAAGCTAGTATGGCTCAAGGATGGATTGTGGAGGGTGGTGATGAAGAACGTGAGCTTGGTTCGGGAATTAGAGAGACATCAAAGGTAGGTAGTTCCCTAGAGCCTAGGGGGAGTTCTAAAAATGTTGAAGTAAGAGAACTTCATGAAGAAGATTTTATATGAGATGAGGACACAGAAGAAGAAGAAGGAGATGATGAAGAAGTTGAGTTTTGAGTCCGACACGGAGAGAGTCTTGGAGGTATATGGTGAAGAGGAGTTTGATGCCTAGCCTTGTAACTTTGCAAGGATCTTACATTACTATATTTCCTTATTTTCCTCCTATTTTGTATTTTATGTGGTTTTAAATTGTGAACTTGTTGTACATGCGTCATCCTACAATACTTCTCACTATGGTTATATGGCATATATGCTTGATGTGTTTTTAAATTTTGGACTTGTTGGATACTCTTTTTGCATTTATCATTCTTTTATTATCTTATCCATGGATTTCATACAAGTATAATTTTTTGTAAGTGTCAATATGCACTTATTTACAAGATATACAAGAAATTTACCTAAATCCACCTAGGCTAACTAGGCGATTAGGCGCCAGCCCGCCACCCGACTAAAGCCTAGCGTTTTTTAGAACCTTGCTCTAAATTTAGTGGTGTATTTCTCTAGTTAGTTAGAAAATATGTATCTAAGAGTATCTTGTACATTCCCTTTAGTAGTTTAATTCTTATTAGAGATGTAATCCTATTAGGGTAATGATTCTACCTATCCTACTACTATAAATAAAGGCATAAGGGGGTGATACAACACACACCTCAGAATTACATATCTCTCTTCTCTCTCTGTTGCCACCGGTCCCTTTCCCTCTATGTCCTTTATATAGTTCAGTCAAATAGGCCTACAACATGTTATCAGCACGCTCTTGTTAGAGGCTAAGGAACTGAAAGATCGTGGAGGAGGCTTTCTTCTACAAAATTCGAATGCTTTCAATTATTTTCTCCCAATTAGGTTCTTCTAAAATAAATTAAGATATTTGAAAAAAACCTTGAAACATGAAAACATTACCCATGATGCATGAACCCCTTATATTTATATTTTCCCTTCAATTATATATATTGTATATATGTTCATATATTTTGTCAGTATATATACTTGTTCATGCAATACGTAATTATGCTATGTGGAATTTGTGAGTCAAAGCATCAAAACTAATTTAGAAGCAATTAGGGTTTTTAACCCTAGAATTAGAAAAAATAAAAAAATAAAAAATAAAAACTGGGCACTGCCGCCGCACCATCGTGGCACCATTATCGAACCATTGCGTTGGCTTGCAGCCCATCTGCATGGAGACAACATTCGAACGATGTCGTTTTTGACACCTTGGATTGACCATAGCAGCCTTTTGGGCTTGCTATCACTAAACCACAACCAGGCTTCGGCTTGGGTAGGATCACGCATA